TGCGGCACGCCCAGCGCGATGATATCGGCGCCCCCGCGGGTGGCCCCGGAGAACAACAGAAGTAATAGCAAGAAGCGCACCTGCAGCTAGACGCCACTCAGCATCGCCAAGTCTGCCCCAGTCCCAAGCGGTCCAGGTTTCCGTGGTGCCGCCAGCCTGCTCCCTCGAGGCGGGGATGGGTGCTGCGAAGCGTGGCGGAGACCTGGCCATCGCTCGGACGTCCATTCCCTGTGCTTTTTTCGGTTTCGTGCGTGGTTTTTTCGCCAGATGATCAAGGATGCTCCTCGATCGCCCTCGCCGAGAAAAAATGAACACGTCCGAGCGATGCCAGGAGACAGCACCTACTGCACCTAGGATGGCAGGTCGGGCGGCGGGGATGGAGATGGGGCCGTAAAGAAGGAAGCACGGCAGAAGCATCAACTTCCCGAGGTCCGCATAGACTTCTTCGATCGGCGCTGGGCTCCTCTGCCTGGCGCGCGGAGCGCGCCTGGGGCGGCGCCCGAGGCGCCGCCAGGAGGCCTCCTCCTCTTCCGAGGAGGAGGAGGAGGAGGAGGAGGAGGAGGAGGAGGAGGAGGAGGAGGGGGAGGGAGGAGGGAGTAGGGAGGAGGGAGGAGGGAGGAGGGAGGAGGAGGGAGGAGGAGGAGGAGGAGAAGGAGGACCAGGGAGACGTAAGACTCAGGGTTCAGCGCCGATCCAAGAACTCCGCGCGGGCCTCCGAAGATGTATGTTGTTTCATGCCCATGCTGCTTGTCCTTCGGCGGCTCTGCAGCCATCGTGCTGCCGCGAAGAAGGCGGGGCCAGGACCGAAGGGCCCTCGCGGCAACGGGGAGCCTCGGCCACGAACAGTGGGCTCCCCGAGCCAGGTCCGAGGAACGGCACGAAAACCCGAAGCCCTGCCTGAGCCCACTACAGTCAACCCGAAAAGTAAGGCTGCGCGGTAAGGATGCAAAGGGCCTTGGACGCCCATTCCGAAGCCTTTCGAGCGGGGGGCGGCCAACGAAGCTGGCCAAGGATGCAGGGGTACCCTTGGGAATGTTGCCCATCCTTACTATGCGGGTGGACTCCTTCGGAGGTCGAGGGGCACCAGGGTGATGGGGCGGTGGGGATCGGGATCGGGACGGGGACAGCAGAGGAAGAAAACACGCCATGAACGTAAACTTTTGGCGCTCCGCGTGGGTTTCCTGGATCCGCGCCGGAGCGCGCCAGGGGTGGCGCCGGAGGCGTCGCCAGGGGGGAACAACGCGGATTAAAGAAATCCGCGCGGAGCGCCAAGAGTTTATGTTCATGCCGTATTTCTCTTTGAGATAGAGGTCGGCGAATCGCGTTCCACTACTCGCAAAGTAACTATTCGCAAATGGCTTGGAGCCGCCGCAAGTTGCTTACGATCCATGAAGAAAGGAAGACATATTTTTTCTCCGACGCTTGCGAGGAGGCACTTTGCGAGAGTGGAACGCGATCGGTGAGTCTTAGGCCTCTTGGGAACCTCATGGGGCTTCAGGGGAACCCTTCGGCGCGCCTGGTCCCAACCTTCCCGAGCACCTCCAGCAGTCGCCGTCATCATGGGGGCCTGTTTCCACGGTCAGGACAGGTTGAATCCAGACGGAGCAAGCCCAGAGCAAGACCGAGCACTCTGGACGGACTTGCTCCATATGGACTTAGCATCCGCCGAAATGGTCGGCGGCACCGGCCGTCATGCCTTCACAATCGCAGATCGGCCACATGCAAGAGTGACCCTGGGCAAGAGTGGCCTCCGGTGCGCGGCTTCAGGGGGGCGCGGAGGGGGGTGGGTGTGGGGGGGGGGGGGCCACGATCGAGCGCGGGGAGGGTTGGTGGGGGGGGGGGGGGGGGGGGGGTGGTGGGGCGCAGGAGGGTCAGGGTGGGGGGGGGGGCAAGAGTGACATTCGGTGCCGGCATTCAGGGGGGGGGCGCGGAGGGTAGGGGGGGGGGGGCAAGATCCGAGCGCGCAGGCCACTGCTGCCGCGTCGCTTTCAGCGACCGAGGACCCCAGTGGGCGAAGGGTCACTCTTACGTGTAGTCGATCGAACACCGCCAGCCGTCACGTTCATCGTAAGATGAAGAAGAAGCAGAAGAAGAAGGAAACGGATAATAATAATAATGATAATAATACTAATAAATGTACTAAGGCGAAGAAGAATAAAGAGTTGGATAATAATAATAATAATACGACTAATAATACTACTAATACTAATAATAATACTAATAAAAATACGAATAATAATACGAATAACAATAATAATACTAATAATATTAAGAATAATAATACTACTAAGAACAATAATAATACTAATACTAATACTAATAATAATACTACTAATCGAAATACTAATAGTAATAATAATACTACTAATCGTAATAATAATAATAATACTAACAATAATACTAATAATAATACTAATAATACTACTAATAATAATACGAATACTAATAATCATAATAATACTAATACTAATACTAATAATAATATTATTAATAATAATAATGATAATACGAATAAAAATACTAATCGAAATAATAAGAATAATAATAAACGGCATAAGCTTCTGGCGCTGGACTTCCCAACCGCCCTCGTGCCAAGGGTGGCTCCGCGGCGGCCCGCCCGCCGGGGGGGCTCCGACAGCGGAGGCCGCGCGCGCGCTCCGCGAGGATGCAGCGGAGGCGTGAACTCGGCGGCGAGCCCCGGGGGAAAGGCAAGGGGGCCACAGGCGAACCCTACCCCTACCCCCACGATTTCTAAGGGGGAGGGTGGGGTTCACTTCGTTCGGGAGCTCCCGAGCGAAATGAACCCCACCCTCCCCCTCAGAAATCGGGGGGGTAGGGGTAGGGTTCGCCTGTGGCCCCCTAAGCGAGGGGCGGGCCTCCGCAGCAGGCTCGGAAGTCCCCCCTCCAGCCTGCCGAGAAGTTCTATCACATGGAAGGCTTTCCCGAGGACAGCTCCGCCGCCTTCTGAGAAGGCCTTCTCCTGATCACTTCCCCCCCTCGCTCGCCGCCGATGAATGAATCCAGTGGAGGCCAGTCCACAAGAAACCTTCCGCAAGAAACCCAACCCTGAGACCCCAGGACGCCCATCGATTTTTGGTGTGGGAACGTCACGCTTTCCATCACAAAACCATCGAAACGTAAGAAACCCAGGGCATCCTGGAGGCAAGCAAGGTGTTTCGTGGCAGGCCCCCCCCCCTGTATCCGAGGGAGGAGCCCCTTGAGCGACGAACGAAACAGCGAGCCTTACGCGAGAGATAGCGTGGCGGGCGGCATTGCGCGGCGGCCTGCTCGGGCCGCCAGCGCGGCACGCCGCGCCAACAACGAGGGCGCTCACGCGGGGTCTTGACGCGGGCAGCTTGCGCGGCGATGTCCGTGCAGACGACCCCCTCTTGATTCCGTCGCTCACTTGGCTACAGCAAGGAAGGACATAAGAGACTAGGTCTGGTGGCAGAATACAAGCGGTTCCTGAACGTGCGTCCACGCCGCACCTCCCCCTTGTACTCTCGATCACCCCCACGACCTCCTTCTCCTCCTCCCCCTCCCCCTCCCCCTCCTCCTCCTCCTCCTCCTCGTCCTCGTCCTCGCTGTCTTCCAACCTATCCTTCTCTTCCTCCTATTCATCCTCCTCCCCCGATTATTATTAGTGCTGCTATACTTATTCGTGCCATCATCACCACCACCACCATCACAATCACTGTCACCATCACCAACACCACCTTCATCATCACCCTCATCAGCATCATGATCTTCAGCAGCATCAGCATTAGCATCAGCATCAACATCATCATCAACATCATCATCCTCATCCTCATCCTCATCATCACAATCACCGTCGACATCGTCATCGTCATCGGCATCATCATCATCATCATCATAACCGCCACCATCATCGTCATCACCACCACCATCATAGTCATCACCACTATCACCACCACCATCATCATCAATATCACTAGCACAATCGCCATGACCCTGACCATCTCCATCACCGCCACCATCACCATCAACACCAGCACCATAATCGTGATCATCATCATCATCACCATCATCATCATCATCATCAGCATCATCATCATCATCATCATCATCACCATCATCATCACCATCATCATCATCACCATCACCAGCATCATCATCGTCGTCATCATCATCACGATCATCACCCTCATCCTCCTCCTCCTCCTCCTTCTCATGGCCATCACCATAGTAATAGTCATCACCGCCACCATCATCATCGCCATCAACATCATTACCATCACCATCACCAACACCATCGTCACCATCCTCCTCCTCCTCATCATCATCATCATCATCACCACCAGCATTACCATCATCACCGTCTTGTCACCACCACCACCACCATCACCATCACCATTATCATCCTCAATAGGATTGGTATCGTTATCAATCCTCCTCCTCAGAGAGCATATCAATGACCGAGCGACCAACGAACGAACGAAGACGACGGCGACGACGACTGCCGCGGCGGCGCGGCCCGAGAAGCAGATGAGGATGCGCCCGCGAAGCTGCTTGGCGGCCTCTCTGAGGACGCCCTCGGGCTCGGCGCCCTCGTCCTCGCGCGGGCCGCGCCGCAGGCCCCTCCTGCTCCTCGTGCTCCTGCCCTTCTTTCTCCACCTCCACCTCCATCCCCTCCTCCTCTTCGTTGTTCCTCATGCCTCCACCTCCTCATCCTCATCATCGTCATCATCATCATCATCATCATCATCACCATCACCATCACCATCACCACCACCACCACCGCCATCACCATCACCATCACCATCACCATCACCATCATCATCATCATCATCATCATCATCATCATCATCATCATGATCATGATCATGATCATCATGATCATCATGATCATCATGATCATCATGATCATCATGATCATCATGATCATCATGGTCATCATGATCATCATGATCATCATGATCATCATGATCATCATGATCATCATGATCATCATCATGATCATCCTGATCATCATGATCGCCATCATCACCATGCTCATCATCATCAGCATCATCATCCTCATCACCATGATCATCATGATCATAATCCCCATCATCAGCACAATTACCGTCGACATCGTCATCGTCATCGGCATCATCATGACCACCATCATCATCATCATCATCATCACCATCACCATCACCATCACCATCACCATCACCATCACCATCACCATCACCATCACCATCACCATCACCATCACCATCACCATCACCATCATCATCATCATCATCATCATCATCATCATCATCATCATCATCATCATCATCATCATCATCATCATCATCATCATCATCATCATCATCATGAGCATCATCATCGTCGTCATCATCACTGCTCCTTTTCCTCCTCCTCCTCCTCCTTGTTGCCCCTCCTCCTCCTCCTCCTTCTCCTCATGCTGCTCCTCGTCCTGCTCCTCCTCCCCGTCCTGCTCCCCATTTCCGACGTCCTGGTCATCCGCATTCCCTGCCGATTCAGCTGCTGCTGCTGCTGCTGCTGCTGTTGGTGCCGCTGCCGAAATTGCTGCCCACGCCGCACGACACGGTGCTCGGCCGTCCCGCTGTGCCCTCTTCTTCTTCCTCCGTCGCGGCGCGGCAGCGGCGATCCGCTCGCGCATCCGAGCAATCCGGGCTGCGGCATTGCGAGTTGTCCCGCGTGCAAGAAGAAGAAAAGAAGAGAGCCGGCCGCAGAGACAGAAGCTTTACGACGATTTTGTTTTTTTTTCTACCTCCGTAGTTTTCGGCCCGAGTCGCGAGAGAGCTTCAGCGCCAGTTGGGCTTCTCAAGAGCCCACGGGCCGGCGCTAACACTTACCATCGCCTGTTGAAAAACATCGTGCGCCCATCATCCACAGGCGAAGGGGGAAGGCGCACTCACGCGGCGAGGCCGCGGGGGGCGCGCGGGGCGGCCAGGCCGCAGGGCACCCCTGGCAACGAGCGCGGGGCGACGTCGCGGGCGCACCCCCCTCGGACCTCCCCTGCCAGAAGGCCCCCCCCCCCCCTCTCCTTCTTTCTCGCCTCTCGGAAGCTACCCCCCCTCCCCCACTTTCGCGCTCCGGATGCTATCGCCCCCCCCCCCCCCCACTGCTTTTTCCAAAGGGGGGGGGGCTTAGTTACTCACCCCTCCCTTGAGTCCCCCTGCTGCGGGAAGCCCCCTCCCCTCCCCTCCCTGCCCGTTTTGGCTAAAGGGGAGGGGAGGCTTGGAAGCCCTCCCCTCATTTGGCTTCAGGAAAGAGCGTAAACGACCAAGAGGGCGCCGAAAATCAAACAGCCACCGAAAACCGACAAAGCGCGAAAACCAGAGGCGCGCCGAAAACCGAAAGACCGCCGAAGACCAAAGGGCGCCGAAGTCCGAAGGTGCGCCGGAAACCAAACGGGCACCGAAAACGGAAGGAGCGCCGAAAACCAAGGGAGCGCCGACAACCAAAGGAGCGCCGCAAACCAAAAGGGGGCCGACAACCGAAAGGGAACCGAAAACCAAAAGAGCGCAGGAAACCAAAAGAGCGCTGGAAACCAAAGGCGCCGCAAACCCAAAGAAGGACACAAACCCGAAAAGCGACGAACACAAAAAGGAGGGCCGAAAACGAAAAAGCTCCGAAAACCATAGACGCGCCGAACACCAAAAGAGCGTCGACAACCAGAGCAGCGCCGAAAACCAAATGGGCGCCGAAAACCAAAGGGGCGCCAAAACCCAAAAGGGCGGCAAAAACCAAAGGTTGCCGGACTTAAAACGTACGCTGAAAACCAGAAGTGCGCCCAAAATCAAAACGGTGCCGAAAACGTAAGGGCGCCGAAAATCAAAACGGTGCCAAAAACGAAAGGGCGCCGAAAACCAAAATGGTTAAAAGGGCACCGAACGCCAAGACGGCACCGAGAACCAAAGGAGCGCCAAAAACCAAAAGAGCGCCCGAAACCAAAGGGGCGCCGAAAACAAAGGGGGCGCCGGAAACTCGAAGGAGGACGCAAACCCAAAAACCGCCGTACACAAGAAGGAGCGCCGACAACCAAATATGCTCCAGAAGCCAATAAGGCGCCGAAATGCAAAAAGACACCGGAAACCAAAAGGGCGCCGAAAACCAAATGGGCGCCGAAAACCAAAGGGGCGCCGAACACCCAAGGGGCGTCGAAAACCAAAAGGAGCGCCGAAAACCCTAGGGCCGCCGAAAACCAACGATGCGCCGAAAACCAAAATTGCGCGGAAAGCGCCGATGGCCAAACGTGGGCCGAAAACGAAAGAGGCGCCGATGACAACAGAAACTCCGAAGACGGACGAAGCGCCGAAAACAAGAATGGCACCGAAAACCGAGGGGCGCCGAAACCCGCAGGAGCGCCGAAAACCAAATGGGCGCCGAAAACCAAACTGCACCGAAAACCAAAGGGGCGCCGAAAACCAACGATGCGCCGAAAGCCAAAAGATCGCTGAAGACCAAAAACGCGCTGATAACCAGAAGGGCGTCGAAAACCAAAGGGTGCCAAAAACCAAAGGCGCGCCGAAAGCCGAAAGGCGACGAACGCGCCGGTAACCAGAAACAGAAGCTCTGAAGACGGACAAGGCGCCGAAAACAAAAAGAGCGCCGGAAACCACAGGAGCGCCGGGAACCAGAGGAGCGCCGAAAACCAAAGGGGCGCCGAAAACCAAAGAGGCGCCAAAAAACCAAAGGAGCGCCGAAAACCAAAGAGACGCCGAAAACCACAAGTGCGCCGAAAACCAACGGGGCGCCGGAAACCAACCCCACCCCTCAGCCAGGGCCCTCCAGCTGGAAATACCAATGGAAGGAGGGGAGGGGGGGGGGGGGGGTAGCTTCGGAAGCCCCTCTCCCCCTTTGCAACAGCAAGCCCGGGCTTGCCCCGGGCCCCGAAAAGGAGGGGAGGTAGCTTCCAAGCCCCCCATCCATTTAGCCAGGGACCACCAGGTACAGAATCCAACAAAAGGAAGGGAGGGGGGGTTAGCTTCGAACGCGTAGCCCCCCCCCCCCTTTGAAAGGAAAGCCCGGGCTGACCACGGGCCTCGAAAAGGGGGGGAGGGGGGGGTAGCTTCCAAGACCCCCCCCGCCCCTTTAGCTAGGACCCCCCCAGCTAAAAAATGCCCACAAAGGGGGGGGGGGTAACTTCGGAAGCCCCCCATCCCTTTTGCAAGGGATGGAGGGAGAGGAGCTTGAAGCTGGGGCCCCCGTTTTAGTGATAAGTGCGCCACGAGCGCGCTCTGTCAAACATATTATCAGACATTACTTTATATAACACATAGTTCAGACCGATTTTGTTGTCAGTTTTTTGTTTCTGTAAGGACGAGAAAGTATGATCCTTCAACCCCTGGCACCGCCACGAAGAGGTGCGAAATCCTTCCGGATGAGGAAGAGAACTGGGGTCTCTCTGCCGGCCAGCAGCTTCTCGGCCGTCTGGTCGTTGAGGCTCATAACCATTGGCAAGCGCCTGCGCGGCCGTCGGGGGGCCGAACACAGGAGGAGGAAGAGGAGGAAGAGGAGGAGGAGGAGGAAGAGGAGGAGGGAGAGAAGGAGGGAGAAGGAGCAGGAGGACGATGAGGAGGAGCAGGAAGAGGAGGAAAACTTGATACGAATGTGCGCGGTGCTAAGGCGAAAATTAACAGTATTTTGAAAACGGCATGCCCTCCATCTTTATGACTATTGGAAGACGGATTGGCGAGACATTACAGCGATAACTACACATTGAAAACGACTTCCCCCACATCAATACAGCTGTTGGGAATTTCTAATTTCTGGATGATGGATGGAGATGAGATGGATTCCCAAGCGAAGCTCCTGGATCGCTGACCGGTATGTCTGGTACGACGAGGGGTCACGTAGAAGTGCGAGGGATGAAAGAGGAGGAGGAGGAGGAGGAGGAGGAGGAGGAGGAGGAGGAGGAGATTGGAGATTGGAGGAGGAGCATGGGCAGGAGCTCCTTGATGTCTTGCCGCTCTCACCGTCCCAAGTCTACCCTCTATCTTTTTGGCAGCCGTTCGCAAGCAGGCCACCTCGCAATATATTATCCGATGGATGACTCCATGGGAGGCCCCTACAGGCCACATAATGCCGTGGGCTGCTCGACCTTCTGAGAGCCAGATGCTGGATCTCCGCCCAGCACTCGCCAGACATACCCCCCTGTCTTCTGCCCCTGTGCGTACCTTTGTCGGGGGTCGGGAGCTCTGGAGGCTGCTGGGATCCCCGAGGTAGAAGAGATTCCAGCAGGCACGACTGTACGACCATCATGGAAGATACCGCGAAGATACGGGACGCCATCGCCCTCATGTACACGTGCATTGCCAATGACACGGCCTGCTTGATGAACATCGGACCAATGACGGCAACTGCTCCACACGAAGTACATCACCCTGAGAGACACAACCTCGTCGCCGTGACCGACTCAGAGGTGAGCTCAGCAGCCGCCACACTCTTTGCCGCGGACCCGGCGAGCGTGCAGGCCGGTCGAGCAGCCCAGGGGCCACCGTGCGGCGCAACCTGCAAGAGGCCGCACGTCGAGGGCAGGACCGCGCCGCCGCCACACGCAGGAGGGACGGGGCCGCCACCGCCGGCCGCCGCGGGCATGCCAGCACAGGGCTTCAACGGGCCTCGAGACTGCACCGGGAGAGGGAGACGGCGGCAGGCCCCCATGCTTCACCGCTGCACGCGGGAGGGACCCGCGCCCGTGCCAGTGGACAAAGCACGAGTCGGGCCAGCTGACCCGACGGCGCCTCGCAGTGCACCTGGGGCGCGAGCCGAACCCCAGGCCGAGGCGCAGAGAAGTGTGCAGCAGGGGCCGACCCCCGGCTCGATCCTCGGCGCATCCCGTGAGCCGAAAGCTGAGCAGTCTGGCCGAGCGGCGCTCTGGGGCAGCCGGCGGACGCTGGCAGGCGGCGCCCCCCCGCGCCGTCGAGTCTGCCTCCGACGCTCGCGGCAGCGCCATCCGGCGGTGGCTTCACAGCGGCAGAGGCGTCCGCCTCGCGCAATTGTGTCTCAAATGCCCCCCCACGTTTGCACCGGTGTGGGGCGGCTGCGTTTCAACATTGGGCTCTAGCTTGAAACATGGTGCCCAAAAGTGCAACTTTAAACGCCAACTGCAATGATGGAGGGCTCTCGCTTGAGACTTCCTTCGAATTTAGTCGTCAGCCCAGATGTGTGAGACAGCTGCACGGATGGAGGGCGGCTCTATCTTAAATCGAGGCTATCGTCAGGTCGGCCATGTCCCCCCACAGGCGAAGTACTCCCAAATGCTCAAAAACAGCAGAAACATCGTCCCCAGACTTTTTCTGCCATTCTTGAATATTCCTCCTGTAGCGGAACGTGCCCGACTTCAGGCTATCGCTGGACACTTCCCTGGCCTGGATGATCGTGCTTATGCGCAACGCCCCATGGCCAGAACTACTTTTTTGGTCGCTGCCGCGGGCGAGAGCGCACACGGCGAGTCGTAAGTCCGGGGCGCGGGCCTACTACTTGACAACAGGAGCAAAATAGAGCCGCACACCTAAACTGCCTAAGCTGCCTAAGCGACGATGGCCAGAACTACGCGCAGCGCAGCTCGTTCTCGATAATTATGGCGCCCTCGCTTGCCCGCAGGCCCACGGGGCGCGTGCCCCTCTCCAGCGGGGCGCCTCCCGCTGTGAACATCGGGGTGCCTGTGGGGGCCCTGCGGGGACGGCTCTCGGGGAGAGAGAGGGTATCCCGCAGCATCCCAAGCTTCGCGCCCCGCGATGCACGGGTCGGAGAAGAGGGAGGTCGAGGAGGAGACACGGAGAGGACGAGGAAGAGATTTCGGAGCGGAACGTGGGTGGAGGAGGAGGAGGAGGAGGAGGAGGAGGAAGAGGAGGAGGAAGAGGAGGAGGAGGAGGAGGACTGCACCTCCGCGCCATCGCGCCACCCCTCTGCGGAGAGGCAGCAGATCCGGCCCCCACCGCGACGCGCGCAGTGCGACTGCCCTCGCGGCCCTGGGGAGGGACCCAGGTCCTGGATGCCTCATTGGATAACCCTGGTCCTCCTGGGGAGGAACGAAGCTTGGCGGCGAGCGAGGGGGGTAAGTGAGAACGGGCGGGGCGTCTCAGAAGGCTCGGGAGTCCCCAAGCCTTCTGGGGAGCTTCCCGAGCCTTCCCCGAATACGCAGAACACTTCTCGGAAGTCGCGAGGGCTCCTGGAAGTCCCGCCGCCTTCTGAGAAAGCATTCTCCTTCTCACTTCCCCCCCTCGCTCGCCGCCGAGTTCAGTTCTCGGGTCATAACTTGGGTCTCCGGCGGCCGTTCGGGACGATCTGGGGATCCCCGGAACGATCTCGGCGAGGCGCAGCCGCTGGAACGCATCCCGAGGGCGGAATGCCGTCAAGAAACTACGAAAACGCCCGAAAACCTAGAACCTCTAAGGTCGAACCTCGTAATTCCCCCCTTCGCTCGCCGCAGAGAAGCAACTGCATAGACAGAGTCGTGCGCGGATCGCTCGGATCGGCGTTGGACCTCCCCTCCCTGACGCGCTCAGCGCGCAGCGGCGGCGAACTCCCGGCACCGCCAGGGGGCCCCGGCGCCGACCGAAGAGATCGGCGCGGAGCTCCGAAGATGTGCATGATGCCATTTTCTTTTTCGATGCACCCTTTTTCGATGCACCCCCCCCTCCTCCTCCTCCTCCTCCTGCTCCTCCTCCTCCTCCTGCTCCTCCTCCTCCTCCTCCTCCTCCTCCTCCAGTGCTTCTTGGCATGGGCTTCCACTGTATAAGATTTTCGCTGGCAGTATCCCCTGCCCGCCTGCCAGAGATCCATCTGTCCAGGGCGTGGGTGTCTTCCATGTCCCCGTCGTAGACCGCGAAGCGCTCGTCGTGCGGCATGAACATCACCACGGATGGCACGTCGATCTCGCGGTGGCCCAGGGGGGACGGACTAGCAGCAGCAGCAGCATCAGCAGCAGAAGCGGGGGCCCCCAAAGGCCAAAGTCGAGAAAGCACCTCCAGCGCGTCTCCTCAACCCTCCTCGTCCAGTGAATAAGCTGAGAGTTCATTTCTCGACTCTGGCGCGCCTCCTCTCAGGGAAAACGCGCCCACGCCCGGGCCGGCCAAGGGCCACGTCGCAAAGCCGGACCAGCAAACATTTGGCAGCTCCCAAATCCAAGCCGTCGTGAGCGGCGAAAGAATCCACGTCCGCGCCCCCGCGGTCTGGATTCCGGGGCGCGATCCCGCGGGACACGAGGCCGCGCGGATGCCTTCCGCGCGGGGCCTCCGCGAAGATGCGTCCCGCACCCTGTCCGCGGTGCCGCGGCCCCAGGGCCAGGACCGCGAGACCGCGGGTAAGGATGCGTTTCTCGCCCACGAAGTCAGCTCAGGGAGGAGAGTGGCAGGAGAGCCCAGAATCGAATCGATGAGTCGGATCGGCGATCGAAATGAATCGGATCGGCAGAAATCGGCGGCCAAGTCGGGAGAAGTCGAATCGGCAGAAATTGGCAGGCTAATATGCCTCCATTGAGAAATCGTCATCCAAATGGGAATCCGAAGTCGAATCGAATCGGAATCGGAGGCCATCCAAATCGAATCGAATCGAATCGGAGGAATCGGCCTGGAATGGGGGTCGTCGGGCCCACATGGCTCCCAAACCCGGAGCGAGCCAGAAGGGATCGGAAGCGACCTCCTGACTCCCGTTGTAGCGCTGAGCCCTGGTACCTACGCCCCGATCCCAGGATCAGTTAGCATCGGATCGGTAATCGGATCGAATCGGCGTCGAGTCGGGCTGCATCGGCACGGAGTGGAAATTGAAAAGTAGAATCGAATCGGCCGCGCCAGGATGCACAACAACGTCATGCAAGCATCGAACGGCCGCATCGGAGTGCCCAGAAATTGAAATCGAATCCGATCAAAACGGAAAACCCGATCGATCGGATCGAAACGGATCCGGACTTGCGCGCCGATCCTCTTCGTCGGCTCCTACGAATAGTCCAGGTCACCTACGCCTCCTGGCCAAGCCTCTGGGCGAACCCTTTCTGGGCAAATCTTCCGCATGCGGTGAGGATTCTTTGCTCAGCGCGTCGTGGCGGCGGCCCCGGCGAGACGCTGTGCCTTGCGAGCGGATAGCGTGCCGCTCTGCTCCGCGGGGTGGGAATGCTGGGAAAGGCCTCGGACATTGACGCTTGGGGAATCGGAGAAGCCAAAAGGTACCGATACTGCTACTCCCCGAGCCTATCCCGAGGTGCGCTCTGACCAGAAAATCAAGCGAATCCAGCTGTGGCGTCGAGGGCGTCCCAAGAGGCCCAACAAGGCGAGAACAAGGCAAGAGTAGCGGTATTGGTACGCGTTCCTCCTCTGAGGAATGGGGCATGGTCGGCGTACCGCGACGAGGCGTGGCGGGCCAGAGCCTGTCCTGACCGTGCGGCAGGTTCGTGGGGTGCAGACTTTGGCGCTGGTTCCTGACACCGCGGGGATCGTTAAACCTTGAACGATCGGTTGCTTCCGAAAGGCCATATCATTCAACATCGACCGATTGTGGGTCGCCGGCGGCGTTCTACAGTCGGACTTGATTGGACAGGACACTCGAGAGGGCACAGAATTCTTCCGACGGCAGCGCGGCTCCAGAGCACAAAATGACAAGCGGCTTGCCTGGGCCAGGATAGACAGGACACAAAGATACCCTCGACTTGGCATGGTTGACCTACTAATAAAAATCGACTGTAATTTCGCCACCGACTTGCTCACAAGGCCCCCTTTCCCTGACCGCCGTCCTGACCACGCCGCTGGGCCAGAGGCGACCAAGGATGGCCCCGCTCGTGGCCGCCTGTGCCCTAGGGGCGAGCTGGCATGGTCGCCCCACGAGAGAACGCGTTTCACGGGCGTTTGCCTTGGAAACATTCGGCGGCGCGTTTCGAACCGGGGTGTGGGCCCCCCCCCAACACTCGGCGCCGTCGCTCAAAACCAGGGGGACCCCCCTCCTCTCCGAACGCCCCCTTCCCGACCCCCCCCCCTCCCAAGGAGGGCGCAGTGACGATGACCAGAGGCAGCCCAAAGGCGGGGAGGGGGGGTTCAAACCACCCCCACCCCTGCGCCGAGGGGGGGACGTTCAGAGACCCCCCCCCTGGCGCCGGCTGGCGCTGGCTGGCGCCGGCGCCGGCGCTGGCGGCGGCCAGCAGCGCTGGCGCTGGCGCCGGCGACGTCGGGGACGCAGCGACAGTAACCACCACTACCACCACCACCACCACTACCACCACCATCACCCCCTCAACCCACCACCACCACCACCAACCCACCACACAACCACCACCACCACCACCACCACCTCCACCACCACCACCACCACCACAGCCACCACCACCACCACAACCACCACCACTACAACTCGCCATCACCACCACCACCACCACCACAAAAAACACCACCACTACTTCCACCACCACCACAGTCTACCACGCCACTACCACCACCGCTACCAGCAGCACAACCCACCACCACCACCACAAACCACCACGCCACCACCACCACTTCCGCCGCCACCGCCACCAGCACCAGCACCGCCTCCACAAACCACCACGCCACCACCACAGCCCACCACCACCGCCACCACACCACCACCACCACACAAACCACCACCACCACACCACCACCAAACCACCACCACCCACCACCACCTCCACAACCTACCACCACCACCACAACCAAAACCACCACCACACCACCTCCACACACCACCACCACCACCAAACACCACCACCACCACCAAACCACCACCACACCACCACCACCACCCCCACCACCACCACCACCACCACACCCTCACCCTCACCCCACCCTCACCCTCACCTCACCCTCACCCTCACCCCTCACCCTCACCCTCACCCTCACCCCTCACCCTCACCCTCACCCTCACCACCACACAACAAACCGCCACACCAACCACCACCACACCCCACCACCACCACCACCACCACACCACACCCCCACCCACACCACCACCACCACACCACCACCACCACCACCACCAAACCACACACCACCCACCACCACCACCACCACCACCACCACCACCGTCCCCGTCCCCGTCGACGCTCCCCGCCGCCGCCGCCCGCCGCCGCAGGCGCCAGCACTGGCCCAGAAAAGGAAATCGTCGTCCCCGCCGCCGCCGCCAGCCGCCGCCGCCGCCGACGCAGGCGCTGGCCCGAGGAGATGGAGAGAGGAGAAGTAATGGGGGGGGGTTCGAACCTCCCCCTCTCTATCCAGGTGTGGGGGGGTCCGGTTCCAAACCCCCTCCCCTCCAAGCGACCACAGAACGCGCTCTTTCCGACCTGCTAATCAAGCCCGGCTGTACGCTGGACGCCAGCGGCGGGATCGCTGCCGGTCGACACGACGCGAACCTGCCGTAGCACCTCCCGCTCCGCGTCTGTCGGCGGCGGCCCGCGCGCCCTCGTCCTCGTCGTCATCATCATCGTCGTCGTCGCCGTCGCCGTCGTCGTCGTCGTCGCCGCCGCCGCCGTCGTCGTCGCTATCGTCGTCGTCGTCACCGTCGTCCCCGTCGTCGCCGACGCCGCCGTCGCAGTCGTCGGCTTCGTCGTCGTCGTCGTCGGTCGTCGTCGTGGTCGTCGTCGTCACCTTCGTCTTCGTCTTCGTCGTCCTCGTCGTCCTCGTCGTCGTCGTCGTCGTCGTCGTTGTCGTCGTCGTCGACGTCTGTGACGCCGCCGCCGCCGCCGCTGCCGTCGTCGTCGCCGTCCTCGTCGTCGTCGTCGTCGTCGTCGTCGTCGTCGTCGTGGTCGTGGTCGTCGTCGTCGTCGTCGTCGTCGTCGTGGTCGTGGTCGTGGTCGTCGTCGTCGTCGTCGTCGTCGTCACCCTCCTCCTCCTCCTCCTCCTCCTCCTCCTCCTCCTGCTCCGTCTCATCCTCCTCCTCCTCCTCCTCCTCGTCGGCTCCGCGCCCTGGCGCCCCTCCTTGACCAGCTTCTTCTGCTCGCCGCTGGGGTGGCTCTCGTCCTCGGGCGGGCCGGCGGAGGCCGAGGCGCGGCCCCGACGCCAGCCCGGACGGCCACGCCGCCGCCGCCGCCGCCGCCGCCGTCGCCGTCGTCGTCGTCGTCGTCGTCGTCGTCGTCGTCGCCGTCGCCGTCGCCGTCGCCGTCGCCGTCGCCGTCGCCGTCGCCGTCGCCGTCGCCGTCGCCGTCGTCGTCGTCGTCGTCGTCGTCACCCTCCTGCATCCCTGCCTCCTGCATCCCCGCCTCCCCTCGATCTCGACCGCGAGCTGTGGCAGCGCCCACACGGGGGTCGGGGGAGGGGGGCAGGCCTCTCAGAGGAGCAGGCTTCTCAGAAGGTGCTGGCGTCTCAGAAGAGGGCTTCTTGAAAGGAGGCTGCTTCTTGGAAGACGGCTACAGACAAGGGTCGCGTATTCTAAGATGCAGGGGTACTTCTAAGAAGCCTTCCACCCTCCCCCTACCCCCCTCTGCGCGTGGCCGAGAGCTGTCGACGACGACGACGTCGCCGCGCCACCGCCGCCGCCGCCGCCGACATCATCCCATCTCCGCCCTCTACTCCCTCGAGCTCGACCGCGACCTGTCGGCATCGGTGCTCAGCCGAACGCTGCCGTCCACGCCTCCCCTCCCCCCCACGGGCGGCTGCCCCTGGAGGGGGGTGATGAAAAACTAGGTGCTCCTCCTCCTCCTCCTCCTCCTCCTCCTCCTCTTCCTCATGCTCCTCCTCCTCCTCCATCCTCCCCTCCCCCGCCCTCCTCCTCCTCCTCCTCCTCCTCCTCCTCCTCCTCCTCCTCCTCCTCCTCCTCCTCCTCCCCACTCCCCCCCCTCCCCAAGCTTCAGAAGCGGAGCCCCCGCGGAGTCGCGCGCCGAGCCCCGCGCGTCGCAGCACTTGATCTGCAAGTTCTGCTGCCACCCGCCGTTGGAGTCGGCCCTCGACACCGACATCTCGGTGCCGGCGACCTGTGGCCGGGTGCGCCGAAGGTCGGGCAAGGGCGAACGGGGGCGAGTACGGTTGGCGCTGGAAAGATAGCATGCAGCATCGATCTCCGGAGTTCACGTTATCCCTGCGAGGCGATCCACCCGCGAGCGCCCCCTGCCATCGCTCGGACGTCCCTTTCCCGTGCATTGTTCGGTTTCGTGCGTGTTTTTTTTTTCCTCGATGGTCCAGGATGGTCCTCGATGGGTCTCGCCGAGAAAAAATGTACACGTCCGAGCGATGCCGAGGCCCCTTCTGTGCATTGCTGGTCCGGCCGCGGCTTCTGTGCACGCTGGTCCGGCCGCGGCCTTCTGCAAGGATATTTTCTGGGGAATCGACGATTAATTGTGTCTGTGCTTTTTTCCCTCCTGAGTTATCCCTGCGAGGCGATCCACCCGCGAGCGCCCCTTCTGTGCACGCTAGTCCAACCGCGGCAACGGCGGCGGAGACGACAGCGCCCCGGACCTCTCCCGGGGCGCCTTCTGCCCAGGAAGTTCCGGGCGGCGGGCCTTTGCCGAGAGTGGGCGCGGGCCGCCCTCCGAGGCCGGAGCGACCACCCCACGCCTCGAGCCTCGGACGACGACGACGCCGCCCACGACGATGACAACCACCACCACTGCGACGACCACGAAGCCGACGAGGAGGAGAAGCAGGAGGAGAAGGAGCAGGAGGAGGAGGAGGCGGGTGACGACGACGACGACGACGACGACGACGACGACGACGACGACGACGACGACGACGACGGACGACGGACGACGACGGACGACGGACGACGACGGACGACGGACGACGGACGACGACGACGACGACGACGACGGACGACGACGACGACGACGACGACGACCACGAAGCCGACGACAATCACGGCGACGACGGCGGCGGCGCCGACGAGGGCCGCCAACTTCCAGGGCGCTACCGCTGAGCGGCGACAGAGGCGCGGGCAAGGCCGCCGGCATGGCCGCCAGCATGGCTGCTGGCAAAGGCCACCGACATGGCCACCGACATCTTGCCATCGCTCGGACGTGTGTTTTTCGTGCATTGTTTGGTTCTGTGCGTGTTTTTGCTTTCCACATGATCCTGAATGCTCCAATGTTGGCACTGATCCTAGATGCTCCAAGATGGTGATGTTGATCCAAGATGCTCCAAGATTGATCTGGCGTTGGTCTTACCCCAAAAACGCACACGTCCGAGCGATGCCAAGACACGACATGGGAGCCCAGAGAATCGAATCAATCAGTCGGATCGGCGATCGAAATGAATCGGATCGGCGGATTTGGGCAGCGCAGTCGAGAGAAGCTGAATCGGCGGAAATCGGCAGGCTAGTGGGCCATGAAAAATCGGAGCCCCAATCGGAAACCGAAGCCGAATCGAAACGGAATCGGGCGCCATCGAAATTGGATCGAACCGAATCTGAGCAATCGAAACGAGCCCTAGCGTTATGTCGGGCGTGTCCCCCCACAGAGGGATTTTCGACGAAAAACAACAAATACTCCAAAAATACAACAAAAAAAGCCAAAAAATACTCCAAAAATAGTCCCCAGACTATTTTTTGATTTTTTGTTGACTATTTTTTGGGTATTTTATTTATATTTTTCGTCGAAAATCCCACTGTAAGGGGACAGGCCCGACTTAACCCTGGCGGGCCTCGACTTTGAAGGTGTCGGTCCACTCGGGCCGCTGCGGGTTGCGCGGGGCGTCGCTGCACTTCATGTCGGCGCGCGGCAGCGTTAACGCCTGCGCATGCCAGCAGGCGGGCGGTCCTAAGGGGTCCCGTCCCCGTCGGCGTCGGCGTCGGCGTCGGCGTCGGCGTCGGCGTCGTCGTCGTCGTCGTCGTCGCCGCCCGAGAATCAAAGGGCCAACGTTTTTTATTCCCAACCTAGGCTCTGCCTAGAAGAGTTCTTACTGTCTTGGCTTAAAAGGGGCCGGGCAGTGGAAAACGCCCCGGGCGGTTCCCCCGGCATCCGCCCCGCGGTTCCCCCAGTTACGTCTCCTTGGCTTTATCTCATCTTATCTTAGCTTATTTCATCTTAGCTTAGCTTAGCTTCATCTTAGCTCAGGCTTATCTTAGCTTAGCTTACCTTCATCTTAGCTTCGCCGAGCTTTAGCATAGCATAGCACAGCATAGCATAGCAGAGCGTAGCGTAGCATAGCGCAGCACAGCATATCATAGCATAGCCCAGCATAGCATAGCATATTATTGCATAGCATAGTATAGCGCAGCACAGCACAGCACAGCACAGCGCAGCATAGCATAGCATAGCAGAGCATAGCACAGCAGCAAAGCAAAGGCAAAGCAACAGCAGAGACAGCAAAACAAAGCACAAGCAATGCAAAGCAAAGCAAACGCAAAAGCAAAGCAAAGGCTAAGGAAAAGCAATGTGCGACAGATGCCGAGCTAGCCTCGATGGTTGGGCACCTTTTGAATATCTTCGGAGTATTTTCCCTACCTAGGCTCTGCCTAGAGGGTTCTTACCCTGTATCTTAAAGGGGCCGGGCAGTGGAACGCGCCCTGGGCGGTTCCCCCGGCATCCGCCCCGCGGTTCCCCCAGTTACGTCTCCTTAGCTTAGCGTTGCTTATCTCATCTTATCTTAGCTTATTTCATCTTAGCTTAGCTTAGCTTCATCTTAGCTCAGGCTTATCTTAGCTTAGCTTACCTTCATCTTAGCTTCGCTGAGCTTTAGCATAGCAGAGCGCTGCACAGCATAGCGTAGCATAGCATAGCGCAGCACAGCATATCATAGCATAGCCCAGCATAGCATAGCACAGCGCAGCAAAGCATAGCATAGCATAGCGCAGCACAGCACAGCACAGCGTAGCATAGCAGAGCATATCATAGCACAGCAGCAAAGCAAAGGCAAAGCAACAGCAGCGACAGCAAAGACGCCTCAAGACGGCCCAAGAGGCTCCCAAGAGGCCCCCACAAAAGACGCTACCCTGGAAAACCCGAGGGTTGGGGGAGAGCGCGGGGAGCGCTGCGCGTTGGGTAGGCACGCGCCCGCGGGGGGGGGCGAGCGGCGCACTCGTCGCTCGCCGCTCCCCGCGGGAGCGCGCGGGTGCAGCGACACCCCGCGCCCCACCCCAACCAAAGGAGCGGCGAAGGGTGAGGGGAAACAAAAGCCGCCACGGCGGCCCGCGACGCGCGCACCGAGGGCGCCAGCCTCGCGTTCGGCCGACAAGCGCCCTCGGGGCAGCGCGCGCGACGCGGGGGTATATTTACCCTCCCCCCACCGCAGGGAGACGTGGACAAAGAACACGAACAAGACGAGGAACACGAAGTCCATGAAGACCTGAGGCGAGCCACCCCAAACGCACCCCCCAACCGACCCAACCCGCCCCACCACAGGCACCGCGGCGAACCGCGGCGCCAGCGGCGGGGCGGCAGGGGTAGAAGGTTCCCAGGTCCGCGTTTTTGTGACAACGAACAAAACTGCGTTGTGTTCTCGCCCACAAAAGACGCTACCCTGGAAAACCCGAGGGTTGGGGGAGAGCGCGGGGAGCGCTGCGCGTTGGGTAGGCACGCGCCCGCGGGGGGGGGCGAGCGGCGCACTCGTCGCTCGCCGCTCCCCGCGGGAGCGCGCGGGTGCAGCGACACCCAAGGCCCTTGCTGCACCTGCGCGCGAGGAAAACCCAACGCTGTTCTCGCCGAAGGTGTTCTATAGGCTCACAGCCACCTCAGTCCTTGTCTTCGTCGCTGGACGAAGCGCCGCCGTGCGCTTCCCTGACGGCGCTGTCCTCAAGCGCATCCCTGTCTAAATATGACAGGAAGGCGGCGGACCGCCAATCTCCGGCGCGAAGGATGTCGGCCAGCCGCGAGCCACGCACCGCCATGTCTTGGGCGTGGCCCCGACGAAAATCGTGGGTGCGATAGGCATCGTGCCGCGGCACCCCGAGCTCTTGCAGGGCCGCTCTCAACGCCGATAGGACAGCGTCCGGGCGGAAACCCGCAAAAGGCTGCTGGGCCGCGCTGTCGGCGCAGAATTTCCCCAGCGCGTGCACGGGGCACGTTGATGGACAGCGCGCGCACCAGCACGTGCGCGTCATCGTGAGCGGCGTGGCGCGATTCTTGCGCCAAAGCAACGTCAGCGAGATCGAGCCGTCATGCAGGCGTAGGCAGCTCTTCGGCTCGACCGCCCGCGGCGGATCGCCGTCCCGAGCGACGTGCATCGGCAGTGCTTCCGACGGCAATCGCAACAGGAATATGTACGCCGTCAAGAAAAGCATCTGCAGCTCGCGCCCCGATTGGTGGCGTTCGAGATGCTTCAGTAATCTGGCGAGGAGCGCCTCCCGAATAAACATCTTGGGCCTGGCCTGCCAAGTGTTTCGCGCTTGCACCGCGCGAGCCGCGCGCTCGACTGCCGGGTCGCTCAGCGCGTCCAGCGGGACGCGCAACAGGATGCAGACTAATCTGACGTGCGAAATATAGTTGTCGAATGTTCCTTTACAACGGAAGCATGTGCTCCACAATGCAAGGCCCTCGGGCGACGGCGGAATCACTTCCCCCGCGTCGCAGCCGAGCACGGTCATGGCGAAAGTCGCCCAGCAGCGGAAGGCGCTGACTACGCTGGGCCACGTTTTCGGGCAGCTGCCCAGAATCGCGGCGACCCGAGCCGAATTCGACCATTCGCTGAAGCTTCGCTGGGCGAGGCCCTGCCGCAGGGCCTCGACTTCACGGCGGGGGCCCGCGCGCGGCTCGATGGTGCACTGGCGCGCTATGCTGACGGCCAGCTCAAGGTCCCGCACAGCACCGCAAGCCGCCGAAAGCTCATCGCACTTGGCAGCTCGCCGCCTGGCAGGGCGACTGCGGCTGCGGCACTCGCGCTGATGCACGTCGGGTGCAGGCGGAGGTTCGTCCTTTGCGCCGCGCACGACGGCAGATGGCTTCTTCGCTTCGTTAATTAACTCTGACAGCGCTACGCGCAGGGCGTCAGGGCTGACGCCTCGTTCCCCTTCTGCGGCAGACACCGGTTCGAACCAATCGACGCGCGCTAGCTGCAGATCTCTGAGATGCGTTATGTCCTGGCGCCGCAGCAACTCGATCAACGCAAAGGTAACCATGGGTGAAAGCTCTGGCAGGACGCCGCGGACCTCATGAAACAACGTCATGGCTTATCGCTCGACTGAGCGCCCGTCGCTGGCTGCGCTGGGACCGCGCGCTGACGCATAGGACAACCGACCAGGGGCCCATCGATGGGGCCGGTTAACGACGCAGCTTCCACTGTCGGCTTTTGGCATCAACTCGCGCGGGCCGCCCTCGCAAGGCACGCGCGAGGCATGGCTCGCAACGGGCTCGACGCGGGACAGCGGCTCACTCGCCTTCGTTGCTTCGTGCCGCCTTCGATGCGCAACGGCGCTCGCGGGGCGCGACGACGCGCGACGGCGCGCTCCCGCCGGCAGAGCGCGGGCCAGAAACGTCTCCGGTGCGAAGAACTCAGCCGCGCGCAAGCGCGGCGTCACGAAGTTCGCCCCAAGAACACGTAGCAACTCGTACTCCTCCCGCGACGGAAGGTCGGCGATGTTCTCTGCTGATGGGACCCGCGCAAACCACGGCGAACACCGGGTGCGTGCGATGAGGAACCACATGGCGTGAATGATGCGGGAGTGGTCCCAAGCGGAAGCGCGACCGCTCCGCACTGCCCCTTCTGCGCCCACATTGTCGGACCAAATCACCACTCGGCGGTCCGCCAGCAGTTCACTAAAGGTAGCTAATCCCAGCGCTATAGCGAGCAGTTCTAACGCCATAATCTGAGAGTCCCGGCGCGGCGCCAAGTCCTCCAGCAGCTCCTGGTCTGGAGGGGCGTCGGACCAGAAGGCGCGACCATCGACGAACAGCACGGCGGCGAGCCGTGGATCGGACCCGCCCCTTGCGTCAGCGAACAAGTGCACTTCTTGCCGTTCCAGCTGCGCCCACGGCTTGGACTGATGGATGCCGAGGGCCAGCACCTCCGCCCACCATGACAGCGCCAAGTTGAGCGGGGCGCGAACGACACCCCGTCGCGCATTCTGCTGCGCGAACAGGGGCTGCAACATCGCACGCCCTAGCCGCTCGAAGCAATGTTGACCTGCCCAGCTGAGAGCGCCGGCCAGCTTGCTGGCTTGGCCGGCACATAGTGTCCCGCAGTCGAGCGCTTGCTTGATCAAGAAAAGCCACTTGCGCACCTTCTTGGGCGCGGGAAACAAGTTGATCCCGCTGAGAGAAAAGGACACATGCAGGCCCAAAATCTCCAGCTCGTCGCCACATTCCAGCTTCTTATCGGAAACCGCTCCTGGACCTAGGAGCAGGCGCACTAGTCTGGCCAGCGATGCCATGGTATGCTCTTTAGTTGCGGGTGCGCACGGCCCAAAGAAATCGTCCACGTATCGGAGGGTGGGAATCTTTAAGAGCTTGCGGGCGAGGTGCGCCAAGGCAGCTCCGACTCGGTCCCACCCAAAGACGGCAGCCAGGGCGCCGAACATCAACGCCAGGTGACCAGTGACCCAAATGTCTCCGTCGTGCAAATACGTGCTGTAAGCTGCCCACCTGTGGCAAGGCCGACATCGACACCGCAAACGCCGGGTTCCTCTGGAACCCCGACACGAGCCCCCAGGTCGATGCTTTTAACGGGGGGGGGCACCCGGAAATCCCGAGCCTGTGTTCAGGAGCGATAGGCACACGCCGGTAAGCGGAGTCGATGTCAGCCTTAAACAGTGCCGGTGCGTGCCCGCGCAGACCGTGATAGCAGCGCAGGGCGTCCAC